AGCTGGGATTATAGGCACGCACCATTATGCCTGGCTAATTTTTTGTACTTTTAGTAGAAATGGGATTTCACCATATTAGCCAGGCTCTTCTCAAACTTCTGACCTCAGGTGATCCAGCCACCTTGGTCTCACAAAGTGCTGAGATTGCAGGCGCAAGCCACTGCACCCGGTCTGGAGCTTATTTTCTAATGCAAGAATCAGGAAACCTTTCAGTAATGAACCAGATAGTAAATACTTTAGACTTTGCATGTGCCCATGTTCCAATAAAACTTTATTTACAAAAACAGGCAGCTGTCTAAGTTTGGCATACAAGCCCTGGTTTCCCAACCTCTGTTATAGTAAGTGGAAGCATAATTAATATGTAAATTAGAGTATGTTAGGTGATAAGTGCTTTGGGAAAAAGAAAAATATGGCGAGATAATCAAATAGGGAGTGTGACAAAGTAGGGATTCGCAGGGTGGGCTTCATTGAAGTCAGGAAGAAGAGGAAGGGGCATAGCAGCACACACCAGTATTCCCAGTTACTCAAAAAGCTTAGATGAGAGGATCACTTCAGCCAGGAATTTGAAGCCAGCCTGGGCAATATAATGAGACTCCCATCTCTAAAAAGAAAAAAAAAAAAAAAAGGAAGAAACAGCAAAGGAGACTGAAAAGTGAGTAGTGAGATAGAAAGAAAAACCAGAGATGTTTTCTGAGCTTGGCCCAGTGGCTTACTCCTAGTAAATCCAGCACTTTGGAAGGCTGAGGGGGGCAGATCCACTTGAGCCTAAGAGTTTGAGACCAGCCTAGGCAACGTGGCGAAACCTCATCTCTGCAAAAAATACAAAAATTAGCAAGGTGTGGTGGTACACACCAGTAGTCCCAGCTGCTTAAGAGGCCGAAGCAGAGGATTGCTTGAGCCCACGAGGCAAAGGTTGCAGTGAACCAAGATCATGCCATTGCACTCCAGCCTGGGTGACAGAGCGAGACTCTGTCTCAAAACAGTTCTAGTTAGGCCAAAGAAGAGGAAAATTGATTAGATTTGGTTAAATGGAGGTTGTTAGTGACCTTGATAAGCAGTTTTGAGGGAGTGGGTTCAAAACTAAGGAGAGAGAGAGAGACAATTCTAGGTAATTTTGTTGCAAAGGGAGCAATGAAATAAAGCAGTGGGGCAAAAAGGCTCAAGTAAAGAATTTGTTTTTACTTTTTTTTTTTTAACACAGATCATAGCAAGTTTGTTTGAAGATCTAGCAAAGAGTAAGGGAAAATTATGTAGAGGAGTGAGAGAAAATTGCTGGAGCTGTGGCCTTGAGTTGGTGAGGGGTTAGGATCATCTGTATAAGTGAGGGGATTGACTTCAGATAGGTGGAATATTGGTTGATGGGTATATGTGCTGTAGAGGGCCGTTAAATGTTCTCTTATGGCTTCAGTTTTCTGATTAAAAAATTACTAGGCCAGGCATGGTGGCTCATGCCTATCATCATAGCACTTTGGGAGACTGAAATGGGAGGATTGCTTGAGCCTAGAGTTCCAGACCAGCCTGGGCAACACAGGGAGACCCCGTCTCTACAACAAAAAATTTTAAATGAATAAAATTAACTGAACATGGTGGTGTGTATCTGTGGTCACAGCTATTTGGGGGGCTGAAGCAGGAGGATCACTTGAGCTAGGGAAATCAAGGTTGCAGTGAGCCATGATCATGCCACTGTACTCTAGTGTGGGCAACAGAGCAAGACCCTATCTCAAAAAAAGAAAAAAAATCAGGCTGGGCGTGGTGGCTCACGCCTGTAATCCTAGCACTTTGGGAGGCCAAGGTGAGTGGATCACCTGAGGTCAGTAGTTCAAGACCAGCCCGGCCAACATGGTGAAACCCCATCTTTAAAAATAAAAATAATTTAAAAAAAGAAAAAAGAAATCGAATTATCAGTCAAGGATATGAAAGTTGAAGTGCTGAGGTTTTATATATACCTACAGTCTTTAACTTCTAGTACCAGCATTTGAGGGCTCTTTGGTGACTAAGATGACTTTTATTGTGCTTTCTGAGGGAGTTATAGACGTAACCCAGCAAATTTGTATGTTTTGAGAATTCAGCAGTATATGCTGTGGTCAAATAATGATGCATGTAATGCCTGTGGCACAGCTCACAGTCTCATGTAGACACTCAAGAAATGCTATTTATTAGAAGATGTAGAGTTGGTATGCACTGAATTAGACTTATTTCATCTCTTTGGTCCCAAAAGATACCTTATCATTGTTTTAAATGTTATGTAAGTTAGAACTTGACAATAATAAGTAAACATGCTATATGTATTACAAATCACAGGTCCTTTAACATCTCCCCTAATGTTCTCTCTACTTTACAATGTATATATAGTCTGTTTTCATACAATGATGTAATCATATTATTGGCTCCAATGATCAGCAGGGAGTCTTGGTCAGAGGCTCCATAGATGGATGCTTTGTTCTTACGTGTTTAATTATTTTATCATGAGATTCCTATATTAATTTCTTTGCGTAGTAAAAATAAACTATTTTTGTATATAGCATTGACCTTTAGATTATAAGCTCCTAAAAGGGTAAGTAATAATTCTTACACATTTCTAAGAAGTTTTCATATTCCTCTGGTGGCTCACACCTGTAATCTCAGCTGTTCAGGAGTCTGAGGCAGGAAAATCACTTGAACCCAGGAGGCAGAGGCTGCAGTGTGCTGAGATTTCACCACCACATTCCAGCCTGGATGACAAAACAAAACTGTCTCAAAAAAAAAAACAAAACTTAAAAATTAAATTAAAAAAACTTAGGGCCGGGTGCAGTGGCTCATGTCTGTAATCCCAGCACTTTGGGAGGCCGGAGTGGGCGGATCACCTGAGGTCAGGAGTTCAAGACCAGCCTGGCCAACATGATGAAACCCCATCTCTACTAAAAACACAAAAATTAGTCAGGTGTGGTAGTACGTGCCCGTAATCCCAGCTACCTGGGAGGCTGAGGCAGGAGGATCACTTGAGCCCAGGAAGCAGACGTTGCAGTGAGCTGAGATCACACCATTGCACTCCAGGCTGGGCAACACAGCAAGACTCGCAACTCAAAAAAATGAAGTTAGATATTCAGTTATATTTTGCTTTACTTTATTTATTTATTTTTTGAGACGGAGTTTCACTCTTGTTACCCCAGCTGGAGTGCAATGGCGTGATCTCGCCTCACCACAACCTCCACCTCCTGGGTTCAGGCAATTCTCCTGCCTCAACCTCCTGAGTAGCTGGGATTACAGGCACGTGCCACCATGCCCAGCTAATTTTTGTATTTTTAGTAGAGACGGGGTTTCACCATGTTGACCAGGATGGTTTCCATCTCTTGACCTCGTGACCTCGTGATCCACCCACCTCGGCCTCCCAAAGTGCTGGGATTATAGGCGTGAGCCACCGCGCCCGGCCTTTGCTTTACTTTAAATCAAGCAGGAGACCCTTACACTCTTCTGGAAAAATCTGGAGCTAAATTATATTGGGCTTAGTAGTGGTCAGAATACCACCAAATGTTGGAGCCAGGCACGTTGGCTCACATCTGTAATCCTAGCACTTTGGGAGGCCAAAGTGGGTTGATTGCCTGAGCTCAGGAGTTTGATACCAGCTTGGGCAGCATAGTGAAACCATGTCTCTACTAAAATACAAAAAATTAGCCACGCATGGCAGCATGCACCCATAGTCCCAACTATTCAGGAGGCTGAGGCAGGAGAATTGCCTGAAGTCAGGAGACAGAAGTTGCAGTGAGTCCAGATAGTGCCACTGTAAACCAGCCTGGGGTACAGAGCAAGACTGTCTTTCGGGGCGGGGGAATATTTTTAAATGTTTCTTTTCCAAATAACTTCCAGAAAGAAATAGTAGTCAGATTTCAGAGTAAGCATATAATAACAGAAGCATAATTGACACATACAGCTGTTGGAATGCCATGAAAACTGGCTTCATAATCATAAAAAGAAATTTGAGAATAATAACCAATTAAATATAACATAGTGAAAATGAAAAAGAGATAAATTGACTTTATATAAATAAAAGAAAATGGTCCTGGTTACCTTCATATACCATATCAAGGTATGCAGTGAGTGAAGTCAGAGAAATTATATTCTTACCAAATACGAGAGAATCTAATTGTTGCCAGGAATTTGTTGGAAAAAGCAAGCTGAAACGACCATTTCATTGTACCTTGGCTAGTATGATTAAGAGATGAAAGTGAGGCCGGGCACGGTGGCTCAAGCCTGTGTAATCCCAGCACTTTGGGAGGCCGAGGCGGGTGGATCACGAGGTCAAGAGATCAAGCCCATCCTGGTGAACATGGTGAAACCCCGTCTCTACTAAAAATACAAAAAAAATAGCTGGGCATGGTGGCACGTGCCTGTAATCCCAGCTACTCAGGAGGCTGAGGCAGGAGAATTGCCTGAACCCAGGAGGCGGAGGTTGCGGTGAGCCGAGATCGCGCCATTGCACTCCAGCCTGGGTGACAAGAGCGAAACTGTCTCAAAAAAAAAAAAAAGAGATGAAAGTGAGAGGACTGTTTCCTTTATAAGAAGCAACTGTATTTGAGACTCTAATTTTAGGCTCATTAATAAATATAAAAAATTGAGAAGGCTATTTCCGAAAATTTATGAAGTGATATTTAGCTATTCGTGCAAATGACTGAGAAATTCCAAACTATTCTAGTCGGGGTTCCCATCAAATTTATAACAGTTACTTCTAAAGCATCGAAACATCCAACTTCATCAAAGTATTTAAGGCTGGGTGCAGTTGCTCATGCCTGTAATCCCAACACTGGGAGACCAATGCAAGAGGATCACTTGAACTCAGAAGTTCAAGGCTATAATGAACTGTGATCATGCCACATGCCACTGCACTGTAGCCTGGGTGACAAAATGAGACCTTGTCTCTTGTGGGGGTGGGGAGAAAGGTATCTTAGATCTATAGAAAACATCAAACAAGTCATTTTAAAAATCCACCCTGTGTTGAACCTTTACTTGTTTTCTTTGTATTATAGGTCCAGTTGTTTACGTCTTGGATCTTGCAGATAGACTGATCTCAAAAGCCTGTCCATTTGCTGCAGCAGGAATAATGGTCGGCTCTATCTATTGGACAGCTGTGACTTATGGAGCAGTGACAGTGATGCAGGTTCACTATTTTACCTATTCAGTGATTTTACTTGGTGTGAAGATCTATTAAGATATTAAGACATTTTTTGTTAAACGTTTAAAAGTGTATTATTTTGAATGAGAAATAACATTCTCGTGTTCTTTCTAAATATGTCTTTCCCCTACTTTTTCTTTACACAGAAAGAAGTGTATTTTTTCTGTATCTCCCTTTTTTCATAGTGAAGCTTGGAGATCATTTCATATAAGCATGCAGAAATCTGTATAATATTCTGTCTATAGAATAGCCATTTACTAACCAACCAGTCTCTTGTGGATAGACATTTAGTTAGTCCAGTGTTTTGCTATTAAAACAGTGCTATATAGTTTGCAATCCCAGCACTTTGGGAGGCCAAGCCAGGTGGATCACCTGAAGTCAGGAGTTCAAGACCAACCTAGCAAACATGGTGAAACCCCATCTCTACTAAAAATATAAAAATTATCCAGGCATGGTGTCACATGGCTGTAGTGCCAGCTACTCAGGAGGCTGAGGCAGGAGAATCTCTTGAATCCAGAAGGCGGAGGTTGCAGTGTGCCTAGATCACACCACTACACTCCAGCCTGGGCAGCAGAGCAAGACTCCATCTCAAAAGAAAAAAAAAAAGAATGCTGCATAGAACTTGAGGATAAGTGATCAAAATAATAATAAAAACAGTGCTGTAATCAATAACTACTGCCGAAGATTAGAGGCATAAATTTCAAAATTTAGTCCCAAGCTCTTGACTCATCTTTTTATACCTTCTTCTTGAAAATTTCCAGCTATCAAGTTAGTTCTTTGTGTGTTCAGGTTGTTTGTCCTGTTCTTTTCTCAAATCCAATGCTGCAGTTGCAGCTTGACCCTTCTCTGTGAATGACCTCTTGTGACTTCACACCCAAAATTAGTGAAATCAACTTGTCATGTCATTTCTTCCATTTGAAACCTAAATTTATTCTCCATCATAATTCCTTTGTTTCAGTTTCTATTTTCCCATCTGTAGTTTACATCCTAATTTTTGGGGTCTCACTGCAGCCTCAATTTCCTGGGCTCAGTGATTTGTCCACCTCAGCCTCCCTAGAAGCTGGGGCTACAGGTGTGTGCCACTACGCTGAGCTACTTTTTTCTAGGGATGGTGGGGTCTCACTGTGTTGCCAAGGCTGGTCTCAAACTCCTAGGCTCAAGTGATCCTCCTGCCTCAGCCTCCCAAAATGTCCCAAAGTGCTGGGGTTGTAGGTGTGAGCCACTGCACCCAACTCATCCTACATTTTTAGAATTACATCTGACTCTTCACCCCTCTCAACACTCCCCTCCACACCCACCCACCCATCCCCAACCTCCTACAAAACAAAGTCTTACTTTGTCACCAAGGCTGGAGTACAGTGGCACAGGGCACAGTCAAGGCTCACTGTAGCCCAACTCCTGGGTTGAAGCAATTCTCCTGCCTCAGCCTCCCAAGTAGCTGGGACTACAGACACACACTATGCCCAGCTAATTTTTATGTCTTCTGTAGAGATGGGCTTTTGCTATGTTGTGCAGACTAGTCTCAACCTGCTGGTTTCAAGTGATCCTCCCACCTCAGCTTTCCAAAGTGCTGGGATCACAAGCATGAGCCTCCACACCTGGCCACGTCTTTCCATTTTATAGCCCTCTATTCAGTCCACTGACCAAATCCAAGCAGTTTTTCCATTTTGATATGTCTTGCATCTGTGGCTTCCTTTCCATACTTTTACCGTCTGACTTCCTGCCACTTCATCATACCTGAATGGCTAAGGGAGCTTCTTGGTTTATCTGACTTCATGTTCTTCTGTCAATCCATCCTTCCAAATGAATCCTCTTAAAATAATACTTTCATAATCTTACTCCTTAGCTTAACATCTCCATTGCCTTAAGTAGTAGTCTTGAAGAGCAGCATCTGTATTGGTTAAGTGTTTCCCAAGTAACTCTGTTCTTACACTGTTTAGTTTTTTACCTCTGTCCTTTGGCTTATGTCACCCTCCTTACCTAATACCTGCCCTTCCAGTCTTCTGTGTACTTATCCAATCTAAACCCTCCTTCCAGGCTTAGCTGGTTTTCCTCCATAGAATTTACAGGCAACTCCTGCCTGCTGTGATTCCTTCTTCGTCTGCATTCATGACATTTTTATTCCTCAAATGGCAGCTAATCTTGCACTAATGAAGTAACATTTCTTACATAGATTATCTATTTAACTTGTTTTGTTTTTAGGCCTTTTCCTGTTAGGGGATAATTTCCTTGAAAGCAGAGTCCATTTTATGCTTCTGTATTCCCTTTACAGCATCTACACAGAAACTAACACATTAAAGGGTTTCATAAATCTTTGGACTTTTTGGTTTGGTGTGGTTTTTTGTTTTTGAGATGGCATTTTGCTCTTTGTTGCCCAGGCTGGAATGCAGTGATGCCATCTCAGCTCACTGCAACCTCCACTTCCCGGGTTTAAGCAGTTCTCTTGCCTCGGCCTCCCAAGTAGCTAGGATTACAGGCATGCACCACCATGCCCAGCTAAATTTCGCATTTTTATTAGAGACGAGGTTTCATTTTGTTGGTCAAGCTGGTCTTGAACTCCTGACCTTAGGTGATCTGCCTGCCTCTGCCTCCCAAAGTGCTGGAATAACAGGCATAAGCCACCGCACCCGACTATCTTTGTGTGTGTGTGTTTTGTTTTTTTTTTTTTTTTTTTTTTTGACAGAGTTTCGCTCTTGTTACCCAGGCTGGAGGGCAATGGCGCGATCTCGGCTCACCGCAACCTCCGCCTCCTGGGTTCAGGCAATTCTCCTGCCTCAGCCTCCTGAGTAGCTGGGATTACAGGCACACGCCACCATGCCCAGCTAATTTTTTGTATTTTTAGTAGAGACGGGGTTTCACCATGTTGACCAGGATGGTCTTGATCTCTCGACCTCGTGATCCACCCGCCTCGGCCTCCCAAAGTGCTGGGATTACAGGCTTGAGCCACCGCGCCCGGCCTGTTTTTTTTTTTTTTTTAAACTTAGTCTCGCTCTGTCACCCAGGCTGGAGTGTGGTGATGTGATTTCGGCTCACTGCGACCTCCGCCTCCTGAGTTCAAGGGATTCTGCCTGAGCCTCCCGAGTAGTTGGGATTACAAGCACCCACCACTACGCCTGGCTAATTTTTGTATTTCTAGTACAGACAGGGTTTCACAATGTTAGGCTGGTCTCAAACTCCTGACTTAAGTTGATCCACCCGCCTCAGCCTCCCAAAGTGCTGGGATTACAGGCGTGAGGCACCTCGCCCAGCCCATCTTTATGTCTTCTGTGTGACCAGTTCAAATAATGAGTGTTAGTACATCACCTGAGGAGGGAGGTTCAGGATGATTTACTAAGACCGAGAAAGACATAGAAACTTAGAGCAGATTATACATTATTTAATGTACAAATATATTATATAGATTATATCTTGCAAATGAGATTGAGTTATTTTCTTAAGAGTTTATTGACCATAGGAAGTGAGATGCCTCTTTTTTAAGAAAGGCTTTTAGGCTGGCATAATGTTAAAAGAAAAAGAATTTTGATAAATAATGAATGGTACCCCATTGTATCCTCTAAAAACTACTACCAGCTACATTTTGGCATTTTGAAGCATATTGGTGTGATTTGTTAACACTTAGTAAGGGTCTTACAAAACATGAATAGGCTGGGCATGGTGAAAATCACGAGGTCAAGAGATTAAGACCATCCTGGCCAATATGGTGAAACCCTGTCTCTACTAAAATGCAAAAATTAGCTGGATGTGGTGGCGCATGTCTGTAGTCCCAGCTACTCAGGAGGCTGAGGCAGGAGAGATGCTTGAACCTGGGAGACAGAAATTGCAATGAGCTGAGATTGCGCCACTGCGCTCCAGCCTGGCGCCTGGCAACAGAGCAAAATGCTGTCTCAAAAAAAAAGGAATAAATTGAACACTCTGATCCCCAGCATCAAGGGATATGTCCAAGACAAGACGTTCGTAAATGAAACCACTGGAGAACAGTTACAAGTTAGATAAGTAAATGTGAAGAGGGCAGAAGACTATATAAACAATATTTTAATTTGATTTGAAATTATGAGAAAAGTCTTCAGCTAACCCTTAAAGGAATTAATTTAGATTGATAGAATGAAATGATATAAGCAAGGAAGAAAAACTGTAGTACACATATATTATATGTTACCATTTAGAAATAACCTTCACATGTACTGTCTCACTTGAAAAGATTTTTTTTTTTTTTTTTTTTTTTTTTTGCTTTTTGTTTTGAGACGGAGTTTTCGCTCTTGTTACCCAGGCTGGAGTGCAATGGCGCCATCTCAGCTCACCGCAACCTCTGCCTCCTGGGTTCAGGCAATTCTCCTGCCTCAGCCTCCTGAGTAGCTGGGATTACAGACATGCGCCACCATGCCCAGCTAATTTTTTGTATTTTTAGTAGAGACGGGGTTTCACCATGTTGACCAGGATGGTCTCGATCGCTTGACCTCGTGATCCACCTGCCTCGGTCTCCCAAAGTGCTGGGATTACAGGCTTGAGCCACCAAGCCCGGCTTTTTTTTTTTTTTTTAAGCCCAGAAATGAGACTAGCTATGAGAGTGGGTAGGTAGGTGTTGTGATTTAAGAGTGTTGGGAAGATGACTTTTACCTTTCTGAGCACAAATGATAGAGAATGTGCTCCTCCCCACCATCAGTAGTATTTAGGGTTTGCCTTTTAATACTCTACTGTTTTTCTTTGGTTACTTAACAACTCTGGAGTACAAGTAAATCAAATTAAGGGATCAGACCACTGTTCTTTTCCCATTTATTTCCTTTCCTTCTCCATGGTCCTGTCGTAGAATCAATACCTTTTAGGTGTGGGGAACTTGATTAGTACCTTCCTCTTGCATTTTTATTGAAAAGACGACACAGTAGTTGATTTTTTTTCCCCCCAGCAGTGGATTGAACACTTTTTTTTTTTTTTTTTTTTTTTTTTTGAGACAGAGTTTCACTCTTGTTACCCAGGCTGGAGTGCAATGG